ACCATTTATTGAGTGGTTATTATATGCCAAGTACTGTTCAAAGGGCTTTACCTGTCTTAACTCATGCGGTATTTGCTGAATGAAAACTAGGACAACATCACGATGAGGCTACACTCTTGATTTCTATTTCACATAAGAGGAGGCTGAAACACAGAGAGGGTGTGTGGCGGGGGGGGGGGGTCAAAGAGCAGACGGGTAATAAATGAACAGTGAGGCCAGGCTTCCAATCCAGGGAAATGTGGCATCCCAGGAAGTAGAAGGGAAGGTCTGGGTTGAGTGAATGAGATACAGGTGCAAAGGAAAAAACCCTAGTGGGTTTTGAAGGAGGCATCTCTGAGGAAGGAGCAAATTCTAGCAATTGTTGGTGGAGGCTGATGCTGGCTGGCCACCTCTTAGAGCATGTATTTCACATGCAGTAACACAACCCCAGGCCAGTCCCCTAAGAAATGCTGACATTGTGGGGGCCCCTGGGTGGCTCAATCGCTTAAGCCTCCGACTTTTGATTTCGACTCAGGTCATGATCTCATGGTTCATGGGTTCAAGCCTGGCAGCCTGACTCCATGCTGACAGTGCAGTATCTGCTTGGGATTCTCTCTCTCTCTTTCTCTCTCTGCCCCTCCCCTGCTTGTGTTCTCTCTCTCTCTTTCTCAATCTCTCTTAAAATAAATAAACTTAAAAGAAAAAAGAATAATGCTGACATCCTGTCCTCAAGAACCACACCCCCTTCTCACAGGAAGAGGGTGAAGATGAACCTTACATTTCATCATGGCCACTGTGTGATATGCAGGGCGCAGAGGGGTATGGCTTCTGTCCCGGTGATCATAAGCCCCTGGTCGGATCCTCTGCCAGAGTCCTAGAACCAGGGGAGAAGGGGGGGAGGGGGGAATAGAAGGCGGCTTCCCAGCTCCACCTGAGATGAGTCAGAGGTGGCGCCCAAGCCCTGGAGTCTGGGCGGACCTGGGCAGGTAGGAGCACATCACAAACCCCACCAGTGGTTCAGCGGACACCCACCCGCTTGACCTCATTCTTAGGTGAGTCTCCTGGGATTGGCTTGCTGAGGGGACTTGACTTCTCAGGTGGGACAGAGGCCCCAACAGAGCAAGGGCTGGGAGTAGCACCCAAGAAAAGGAAACAGCTGTGACCCTTCTGCCCCTAGCTCATCCCCTGGTCATGCAAATGACCAAGTCTCCCCTGGTCACTCAGCCCCACCCACCTCAGCCGCTCCAGTATATCACATCATTTTCTTCACAACATGTATCACTACAGGACTGATCTTGACCCATCTGATGCACTTGCTCATTATCTCCCTGATGCCTTCCTGCTCCCTGTTCATCACTGTAAGTGTGGAATGGAGCTGGGCACAGAGCAAGTGCTGAATAGCTTTGGATAAGCCATGAGTATGACAGGGCCACGTCTCCACCTACAGTCTTGGTGTCCGAACCGCCCCTCACCAGAACCACCACAGCTGGGCCAGCAGGAAGTCCTGACCCGGACTTAGATCCTCTTCACCAAGTATTCCAGCAATGCTCTGGGCTCTAATAGGGACTGTGGCTCCCTCTGAGGTCCCAGAAGGGAGGAGATGCCATGGATGTGGCCAGAGCCGTTGCCTGCTGGCTAGACGCCCCTCTGCCCACTGTCAGGACTCAGGCACCGCCCCACTGCTGACCTCCGTTTGGGCCTTCCTACCCGAGAGTCTTTATGCTCACTCCTCTTTCTGGCCAGTCCCCTGCAGCGTCTCCTGTGGAGCTCCTTCAGAGAGGGGGATCCCTTGGCAGAGCTGTTTGGGCCCCACGTGAACCCCTTCTTGCCTTCTCATCCCAGAGCAAACGAGAGCTATGTGGGGATGAAGAAGGGCAAACACAGCCTCAGACTGGTCCTCGAACACCTGTTCCTAACAATCTCTCAGCCTTGTCTTCTGTCAGGCCCTCCCCGCCTGGTGTCTTCCTCCTGTGATTTTCTTTCCCAGGTGCCTTTCCTCCCTGAATGTAGTTATGTCTATCCTTGCTGATGCTGTTGGGTTGGTGTGACCTTGGGTTCACACACCTGGACAGGGTGTCAGTTCTTTTCCATGAGGCCTGTGGGTCCCATGCAAATCGGAGGGTGTGTCCAGCCATATTGCAGGCGGTACCACGCCCACCTAACGTTCCACAGCTATTTGAGAACCAGTCTATTTTTAGCCACAGGCCCCTCTGGAAGGTACTGTGGCCAGATTGCTCTGACTGTGCCAAAACAGCCCTACCTAAGAACCCTCAAGAAGCTAGGGGAAGAGAAGGTATGCTTTCTAAGCACCCACCATGAGCCAAGCATCCTGCTGGGCCCTTCCAAATGGAAGGTCTCAGAATCTCCTAACTCTTGAATAAACTTTTGGTGAACACGTACTCTGTGTCATGCTTTTTGGACCTTATCTTTTTTTACAACATTCTTGGGAAGGATTTTCATCGCAGAGTTGAGGAAACAGAGGGTCCAAGAGGTGAAGGGGCCTTCCTAGGCTTACAGCTAGTCAATGACTCCAGGGTCCATGCTTGTCTCACCCCATCACATCCTATCCCCAGTTGTGGCCTTAAGAGACACGCTGAAGAGGGCGTCTGGGTGGCTTAGTTGGTTAACCATCTGACTCCAGCTCAGGTCATGATCTCAAAGTTCGTGGGTTCAAGCCCCACATTGGGCTCTGTGCTGACAGTATGGAGTCTGCCTGGGATTCTATCTCTCCCTCTCTCTGCCCCTCCCCCACTTGTGCACACTCTTTCTCTCACTTTCAAACTTAAAAAAAAAAAGACGTGCTCAAGGAAAATAAGGCATGAAACACAACATTATACTAACCTAAACAAGGGGTACAAACCCAAGAGCCTCCTGGACACAAAGAGATCATTTAAATAAGTGAAGCAGTCCAGGCCAACAGGGGTGAGTGGAGACCATGGATAACTGGAGGAAGTCACACCCCATCGAAAGGCAGTAGGTGCTACTCATCTTCAACAAAATGTTACCATGTGGGACTGTACGTCAGTGTGGCCAGATCTTCTGACTTTTTTTTTTTTTTAAAGAAAACCTGGAAATCTGAAACTTTTATGTGAAATTTACAAACAAAGCATTTCTGGGGCACCTGGGTGGCTCAGACGGGTAAGTATCCGACTCTTGGTTTCAGCTCAGATCATGATCTCATGGTTTCCTGGGTTCAAGCCTCACGTCAGGCTCTGCACAGACAGTGTGGAGCCTGCTTGGGATTCTCTCTCTCTCCATCTGTCTCTGTCCCTCCCCTGCTCATGCTGTCTCTGTCTCTCTCAAAATAAGTAACATTAAAAAATAATAATAAATAAATAAAAGCCATTGGTTTAAAACAAGCTGTATCAGGCTGACAATTTGGCCCTATGAGCTAGAAGATGCTTCACAATCTTGGAAAGGATCCATGTCTATTAATCTGCTGTTTCCAGTTTTGCACTGTGCTTGGGCCCTCAAGATACTCCTCTGTCGGGGGAGGGAAGGTTAGAGATGGGAAGACCTAAGACATGCACATCCAAAAGGCATGCCACTCTTGAAGAAAAGACCCAATTAAAAAAGAAAAAGAAAAAGACACATGGGTCTACCACAGGACTACTTGAAGGTCTGAGCTCATTAGCTGCCAATAGCAGAATCCATTTCTAGGTAACTCAGGCAGAAAGGAATTTGTTAGAAGGATATCTGGAAGCTTAGAGAATCAGTGAGAGAAATAGAAGCAGAAAATTGGCAGAAACCCAGGGGAGGGAGATGGATGCAATGACGCCTAAAGATTTTGCCACAAATAGCCTGTGACCACCACTGAGCATCAGAGGCCCCATGAAGTCTACATCATCTCTCCTCATAGGTAGCCCTCACCCCATGCTTCCAGAGATTTCAGCCAAATGACCCAGCTTGGTGAGAATCAATATTTGATACTTCTATTTCATATAAAATCTGATATTTGATCCAGAAGGTGGACCCCTCCCAAACACAGGTATGAGGTTCAGATGCTGGGAAGCCACATACACACATGCCAACTGACTCCTAATCTGAGCTGGAAGGGGTCTTGAAGAACCTATTGTCTTTCCTTTTCAGAATGGGGAAACTGAGGCACCAAGCAGGCCAATGGGTTTTTCAAAACCAACCTAGAACTTGTAGTCAAGCCACACGTTGACCTCCTGATTCGGGCTTTCTAACTGAGCTGCAAAAGGCTTCAGAAGTCACAAGAAAGGAGAGATGTGGGATGTGGCTGGCAAGAAGGCATCTTGGTGGAGGGGAGAGAGGAAGGTAGAAAAACATCTTAAGAAGGCTTAAGCTGGGCTAGGCCATAAGGGAGAACTAAAGATAATAATGTGAAAGCAATAGCTTTGTTGTTGGAAATGCAGAGAGCATCAGGCCTGGCCTGCAGTTTTCACCAGATCCCTGGGTGATCTCAGTGCATGTTCGAGCTTGAGATGCGGTGCTTTAGTCAGTGGGGGGAGAGCCAGGCTATCAAAACAAAACCAAACCTCTAGCTTCAGGAGTGATAGTATTCTAGTCCACAAATCAGGGGTTGGGTTCTCAGATAATGTTTGTTTTGTGATTAGGCTTTATAACATATTTCAGGGTTTTGCTCAAAAGCTACCTCCTCAATGAAGCTTTTTATAGTCGCACCATTCAAAATTATATCCACTCTGAGGGGCGCCTGGGTGGCTTAGTCGGTTAAGCGTCCGACTTTCGCTTAGGTCATGATCTCGCAGTTCGTGGGTTCGAGCCCCGCGTCGGGCTCTGTGCTGACTGCCAGCTCAGAGCCTGGAGCCTGTTTCAGTCTGTGGCTCCCTCTCTCTCTGACCCTCCCCTGCTAACGCTGTCTCTCTCTCTCTCCTAGAAGTAAATTAAAAAAAAAAAATTATATCCACTCTGTGCTCCTTTGCCTCTTTCCTGCTTTAGTTTTTTTTTTTTTTTTTTTCCTGGAATGCTTATTACCATCTGAATGATGAAAAGCGTCAGTTTTTTAATTTGTGTTCTCTCTCTCTTTCTCTCACAAGGTACAGAAGCAGCAATTGGGTCTGTTAGCATCCACAACGTGGCTGGTACCCAATAGGTCCTCCTTAAGTGTTTTTGGAATGAATAGGTTATACGGCATATATCAAATGTTATATAATAAAATGGCTTTTGAAATTTAAAAACCATATCTAACAATTATTGGGCATTGCCATGTGTGAAGTCCTGGGTTGAACACTTCATGTACCATTAAGATCTCACTGAATCCTCATGATACAGAAGAAGAAAAGGAGGCTCAGGGAGCATGACATTTGCCCAAGGCCACACAGCTAGGACGTGGCAGAAGCAGAATTTGAACTTAGCAGAGATAGGAGGCTGGAGTGATTCTGGAGGTGACCTGGGGACAGGGTTGGGCTCCAGAAGCAATGGCACAGAGGCGAGGTCGCAGAGAGGAAGAGGTCTTCTAAAGCCCCACCCTGTGGTTTAAGAGCTGGGGTTGGCAGGGCGGGGTCGGTTTGTACCTGGGGACTCTGAAGCCACGCGGAGAAGGTATCAGTGAGTGCCACCTGGAGCTTGTGATGATGCGCTCGGATTACAATGTGCTAGAAATGCTGGGAAGGCGGCTCCCAGCCTGATAGACTCACCTCTGTAGTCCCTCCAGAGGCCCAGGAGGGCAGGCTAATTGTAGAACGACAGGCAGCCAAGAAGCCAGTGAGTGGAGGCGTCAAAATCTGAGTCCTTCTGGGGTTACTGGGTGGCTCGGTCGGTTGAGCCTGCAACTCTTGATTTCTGTGCAGGTCGTGAACCCAGGATCGTGGGATCCAGCTCCACACTGAGCACAGAGCCTGCTTAAGATTCTCTGTCTCTCTCTGCCTCTCTTCCCTGCTCATGCTCTTGCTCTCTTTCTTAAATAAATAAATAAATAAGACTTTCTGAGTCCCAGTGCTACATGGTCTCTATTCTCTGAGCAGCTCAGGCTGTGAAGCCAGAGACTCCTTGCTACGGGCTCTATGGTGGCGGCTGCTTCTGCTCCTGCTTGTGTTACATTTGGGGGGAGCAGGGTCTCACACAGAGCCACTCTCTGCCCCACTCTGTCCCCAGAAGTAACCCATCTTCAAAAGACGTCTCAGATTCAGCCATTTTCCTCCACCGGGTCCGAGCGTCCCTTCTCCTCCCCTCCCCTTCCTTCTCCTGGTTGGGATATAGTTCACATATGTTAGCTGAGGTTCTCTAGAGAAACAAAACCAATAGGGACTTAGAGATAGGGATAAAGATAGGGATGGGGTGGGTATCATATAGATACACAGAAGAGGAGATTTATGAGGTGTCTGGCTGGCTCAGTCAGAAGAGCATGCGGCTCTTGATCTCAGGGTCGTGAGTTTGAGCCCCATCTTGGGTGTAGAGATTACTTAAATAAGCAAATAAACTAAAAGCAAAAAGGAGATTTGTTATAGGAATTAACTCACATGGTTATGGAGGCTGAGAAGTACCATGATCTGCCATCTGCAGGAAAACTCTGTGGTAGAATTCAATTGGAGTCTGAAAGCTTGAGGACCAGGGGTGTTGATGGCATAGTTCTGATCTGAGTCCAAAAGGCCCAGAACCAGGAGCACCAAAGCCTGAGGGCAGGAGAAGATGGACATCCCAGCTCCAGCAGAGAAAGGACATTCGACCTTCTTTCACCTTTCTGTTCTCTTCAGGCCCTCAGTGGATTGGGAGATGCCCACCCGCCTTGAGGAAGGCTCCTTGCTTTATTCAGCTCATCATTTTAAATACTCATCTCTTCCAGGGGCGCCTGGGGGGCTCAGTTGGTTTAGCGTCTGACTCTTGCTTTCGGCTCAGGTCATGATCTCACGGTTTGTGGGATCAAGCCCCACATAGGGCTCCACGCTGACAGTGCAGAGCCTGCTTAGGAATCTCTGTCTCCTCTCTCCCCCTCACTCTCTCTGCCCCTCCTCCACTTGCTCTCTCTGTCTCTCTCAAAATAAATAAGTAAATAAACTTAAAAAAATTTAAATACTAATCTCTTCCAGGAAAACCCTCACAGACAAACCCAGAAATAATGTTTCACTGGCTATCTGGTCATCCCTTGGCCTACTTGGCATAAACCATAAGATCAGTCATCCCAATGAGCTAAAAAATTCACCTTTTAAAATTCAGTGAATTTTAGTATAGTCACCAACGTGGGCCACATCATCACAATCTAACTTCCAAATTATTTTCATGACCCCAAAAAGAACCCCTCATCTGTTAGCAATCACATCCTCCCATTGTCTCCCCGCCGCCCCGTCCTAGTTAACCTCTTATCTAAATCCTGCCTTTAGGATTCTCCTATTCTGGACATTTCATATAAATGGAACCACAGAATACATGGTCTTTTTGTTTCTGGCTTCTTTCATTTAGCATAATGTTTTCAGTTTTATTCACATCGTAGCACGCATCAGTACTCCATTGTTTTTTCATGGCCAAATATTCCATCGTATGGTTAGACCACATTTTGTTTATCCATTCACCAGTGGACAGACATTTGTGTTGTTTTCAGTTTGGGGGCGTTATGGACAATGCTACAATGAACATGTGTACATTTCGGTTTTTGTGTGGGCACCCCTACTTCTTGCCCGAACCACACCACTAACGTCCACACTGGAGTCCGAGCTTCTGTCCTTGGCCCCCAAGGGTCTGTTCACACAGCAGCCAGAGGGGTCCTTTGAACATGGAAGTCGGGTCATGTCATTCCTTTGTTCTAAACCTCCAGTGGCTCCCCATTACCCTGAGGATACAGTTGAAAGTCCAGCACAATCTCTCCCCTGCCTCCAGCCCTGCGGTTACCCGAGGTTGTCTGTACTTCCGCTTCCCTAGCTGAGTCTCAGTTCCTCAAATGAGTTGTGCTCCTTCCCACCTCCATGCTTCTGCAAGTGCTGGCTTCTTATTGGGAACATTTTTCCCACTCCTTCTTCCCTTTTGTCTGCAAACTCCTCATCATCCCGCAGGCCGAGGGAAATCACTCACATTTGCAGAGAAGCCTTCTGTGGCCTTCCCACTAGAGGGTGGGGCACTTGGGTTCAGCAGGGCAAGGCTGGGGAGGGGGGTGTCATGAAGCTGCACTTTGGCAGCTGTAGGAGATGCCGTTGGTGTTCTGTTCAAATCCCTCTTCCCAGCATCCATTGTCCAGCCATTAGGATCATCGCTGCCCCTTCTTCCAGGGAAACGCCTTCAGCTAAGGGGCCCTGCCTCACCTGGGAGGCTCTGATACCTCCTCCTGCTCCCCCACCCCGCAGCCTGCGGGCAACGACTGACACAGGGACACAAAAGACTGGTCCTCTCGCCTCAATGTGGGACACATCTATGGTGTAGTTCAGACTCCAGGGCACCTTGGCCCTCTGCCCCAGCTGTAGTCAGTCAGGCCAAGGCTAGACTTTCTCTAGCCCCTCCCACACCCCATCCTGCTTCCCTCACACCTTCACTGGGTCTCAGGTACCCGCCTCAGACTCGGCCCAAGACAATAACATTTTACATGAGACTGAAAAATTGTCCATGTCAATATCAAGTACATCCCCTCCCTGCGTCTACTGATCGAAGTGATGGGAAGGAAGGCTCTGCCCTTCCCCAAGTCCTCTTTGGCACTGACCCTGTGACTGGGCACCCCATTAGTACTCCCAAGGCATCATACACTTGCCTTTGTGCCCCTCCAGATTTCACTGGTTTGTTGACTGTCAATTGTCTCTTCCTCACTTGACCTTAAGTTCTCCAAGGGCACAAACCACATCTGTGTCCTTTTCTACCTTATCCTTGCTATCCACCAGGCACCTTGGGAGAGCCTAACAAATATTTGGTGAAGGGCGTTCCTAGCTTCAGCGTGCATGATACCAAGAAATGGGAAACAACCTAAATGCCCGTGAAAGGGGAATACCTACTCGTGGCACCTGGGTAAGAACCCCAGCCAGCTGGGCTTGCTTACCTAGCAAGCTTCTTCCTTGCTTGATTTCACAGATCCACATGCAGCCAGAAGCTCTGGACCCATTCATGCCTTACATTGAGGTCATGTAGTCACTGAAGTCAGAGAAACCTCAAGGAACCTCCCAATCTTCAGCCACTCACTTAGGAGCCAGCATAGGGCAGAAGAACGGGCTTTGACGACAGACATTTCCAAAGCCACCCCCGGAGCACACACACAAAAGTATGCAAACACTTTGACTTAAGAAATTCCATCACTAAGAATGTATCCTAAAGGAAAATCTAGCATTATGCATGAAGGTTTAGCTAAAGGCATATTCACTGAAGAATCACTTTGATGGTGGAGGAAAAATGGAAACAATCCTTGCTGGGCTGGGTGGGGAGGGGACTCTTGCTGTACTCTTTCAGCACAGTGTGACCTTAATTTACTTGGTTAACTTCCCTGGACCTCTGTTTCCTCATCTATAAAATGAGGACACTATCAGATACCTTGTATTAATCAAGATTGGCTCACGGCTGTGGCTCAGTCGGTTAAGTGCCCGACTTTGGCTCAGGTCATGATCTCACGGTTCGTGGGTTCGAGGCCCGTGTTGGGCTCTGTGCTGACAGCTAGCTCAGAGCCCGGAGCCTGTCCCAGATTCTGTGTCTCCCCCTCTCTCTGACCCTCCCCTGTTCATGCTGTCTCTCTCTCTCTCTCAGAAATAAATAAAAAACATTAAAAAATAAAAAAAATAAAAAAAGAAACAAACAGCTTCAAAGTCTCACTGGCTTAACCCAACCAAAGTTCATTTCTTTCTTGTGCTAAATCTGATGCAGATGTTTCTGGTTAGGTAGACAAGTCTTTTGTCAACCAGTAGACTCAGGGATCGGGTCCTTTCCATCATAAGGCTCTACCATCTTAAACTTCTTTGTTCCTTTCCATGTGGCCAGGAGAGAGAGCATGAAAGATGGGACGGGATGCTTCAGGGCCCGGCATGGGGGAGGGTACATCCCTTCCACACACACTCTATTGGCAGCACAAGGTACATGGCCCTCCCTGGATGCAGGGGTCCTGGGAAATGTGGTCTAGCCAGAGCCCAGGAAGGGAAGGGGGTGCAGTGAACCCCTTGGCTTTGTTTCTCATCCACATCTCATGGGAGACGGGGCTCCTCTGAATGAATGAATGAATGAATGAGCTTAA